CTAGCGGGACGGGCTGCACCGGGCTTTGCAGCGGCGGGCTGCGGCGTACTGGGGCAGCACCGGGCGGTCCGGAGGCACGCCGGGCTGCGCGGAGCTGGAGCGGGCTGGAATGCCCTGGGGTGGGCTGGGCTCCGGGGGTCCCGCGCTGATGGTCTCCGGTCGAGGGGTCCCGGCAGCGAGTCAGCCCGGCGTCCGGCCCGCTCCCCGGCCCGGTACCCCCCACGCTCGGCCGCAGCCCCAGCGCGGTCTGGAGTGCCCTGGCACACGACAAAGGCACGGCCCACATGGCTCCCCATAGCACTCCATGGCCCCCCATAGCTCCCCGCAGCCCCCCATGGCCCCATCCCTGTGCCTCCTTGGCCCCCCATAGCACCCCATGGCCCCCCACGGCCCCCCATGGCACCCACAGCCCCTGAGGAGGGGACGCCATCGCCCCTCGGGAGCACCAGGGCTGGCACGGGCCCAGCCCAGCCCCGGGCCCCTTCCCCGGTGTGTCCCTCCCCCGCAGCCCCTTCTCCGCCCCCTCCCCCCTCCAGCTGCCGCCAGCTGTTTGTGTTTAACCCCCCGGCGGCTCCCGGGGGCGGGGGGTTCCCGCGCCCTGGCGTCACCGCGGGGCCGGGGCCAAGCCGTGACGTCACCGCGAGGCCGTGACGTCACCGCGAGGTCCGGGGAAGCCATGGCATCACCGTGGGCTCCGAGCCACGGCGGCCCGGGGAGGCCGCGGGGTGGCCGCTGGCCCCCCGGTGTCCGCAGCGTCCCCGGTGTCCCCGGCACGGTGTCAGGGTGGGGCCGGGGGCGCGGGGCAGCGCCGCCTCGGTACCGGCACCGGGACGTGCCACCTGGCACGGGGTCACGGGCACGCGGGGACGTGGCACTGCTGGACGCGGTGCCGGGAACCCGTGGCTGCTGTGCCCAGTGCGGGGGTGAGGAGCGGGGCCACCAGCGCTCGGGGACACGCGGGGCACCGTGCGCTGCCGGTGCCGGTGGCGGAGCGGCGGCCGTGGGGGACCGATGGCCGCGGCGTGCCGGTGCCGCGGCGGTAGCCCCGGCCGCCTCGCCGGCCGCCCGCGCCCTGGCCCCCCGCCCGGCCTCCCTGGCCGCCCCGGCCCCGGCCCGGCCTAACGAGGAGCAGATGTGGCGGCGGCGGGGCCGGCGGGGGCCGCGGTGCCCGGCGCGGCTGGGGCGGGGGCCGCGGCGGGCAGGAAGCGGGGGGCCCCGGGGACCCCGCCGGCGGGCAGCGGCGGCGGGGCGGCTCTGGTGGCGAGGGGCTGGCCGAGGGGCGGCCGGGGGGAGGGCAGAGCCGAGCCGAGCCGTGCCGAGCCGCCCAGAGCCGCGGAGCCGCCACGGGACACCACATGCGGTCCTGAGCCGCGCCGGACCGGGCTGACCGAGCCGAGCGGAGCCGCCCCAGCCCAGCATGGCACCCTGGCTCTGGCCGTGCCTTCTGGCCGCGCAGGCCCTGGCCGCCAACTTTCCCCCCCGGTATAGCCTCTACACCGGCGGGGCCGCCCCGCTCGCCCCCGGCCCGGCCGCGGCCCACAGCGGTGCCCGGGCCGCCAGCCGGCACAGGTAGGGAGCGACGAGCACCGGGACGCAGCGGGGACGCGGGCTGCAGCCCCCCCACCGATGTGCCACGGGAATCCCGGCGCCGGACAGGCACCGGCACGTGCCACGTCCAGCCCGGGGGCGGCGGGAGGGCGATGGGTCCCCCTAAGCGGGGGCGTCACCCCCGGGACCGGGACGGGTGGGCAGGGGGCGCACGTGGAGGGTCGGGGTGCAGGATTCCGGGCCGGTCCTTCCTCGGCATCCACGCGTGGCTCAGCGCTGCCGGAGAGGGGACCAGGGACCCGGACCTAGCCTGTCCCCATCCCCGTCCTGCCTCGTACCGTGGGCAGCGTGGGGCCGTGGGGCAGCCCGTGGCTGAGGGTCGGGGCGTTGCGGGGGCGCGGGGCTGGGAACGGCCCCGCGCTGGGCTGGGGGCACAACAGATTCACCGCGGCACATCAGCGCTGCAGCAGCGACCCCGGGGATGGCAGGACCTGGCCGCAGCGTGGGGTCCCTGGGGAGGGGCTCGGCCGTGGGGCACGGGCACGGTGGGGCCTCTACCTGCGGGTTTGGGGGCTCAGGGGGGCTCTCCGCGGGCCGGGTGTGCAGCGCTCCATCCCCGCGGCCCGGGGAGCACGGGGGGTGTCCCCAAATCCTGCCTTTTCAGGGGAGCTCTGCTCCCATCCCACGCCCGGGATGGGGGCTGCCCCGGTGCGGGGCGGTGGGACCCCAGGGCAGCCCGGGGGTCCCGGGGCCTCGCGGGTGCGGGGCTGGGACGCGGGGGGAGAAGAGGGGGGCCGTCGGTCGGCGCAGGAATTCCCGGCGGCCCCCGGGGAGGAGCTGGAATCCAGCCGGGGCCTGAGGGGAACCAGCCGGGCTGACGGGAACCGGCCGCCGCACCGGGGCCCCGCGGCGGGGACCCAGGGCCGCTCCCCGGGGGGCTGCCCAGTGGGGCTGGGGGGCCCGAGCGGGGCCCGGGATTCGGGTCCCGACCATATAAGGCTGCGCCGGGGTCCCTGCAGCGGGGCCAGGCTGGAGTCCCAGGCGGGGGGGCCGGGGTCCCCACAGGCTGTGGCGCTGCGCTGGGGAGCAGCGTGTGGCTGCCGCGGCTGCTCCTGCCCTCCCTGCTCCCCGTTCCCTGCGGGGGCAGGGAACACCGGGTCAGGAATGGGGCAGCACGCACGGCGCCCGTCCCCGGGCCAGGCAGCGCGGGATGCACAGCGCGGTGCGATGGGCTGTGGGCACGCTGCTCCTGGCAGAGCCCCATCCCTGCGGGGCTCCCGAGGCGGCCGCACGGCTGGGGGCTGCGGCCGTCTCTGCAGGGTCGCCAGGCATGGTTCAGAGGCTGTGGTGGGACAAGATCCGGCCCATGAACCCGCCGCAGCGGGCCATGACGGTGCTGCCGGTGGGGCTGGTTGGGCAGCACGGAGCTCGCCGGGGGATCCGGGGTGTGGCCAGAGGGGCCGGAGTGTTGTGGGGTCTGGGGTGTGTGTGTGGGGCTGTGGTGTGTGCGGGGGGGGGCGGGGGGGGGGGTGTTTTTGTGTGTCTGCCGGGGTGATGCCTGGTGCCTGCTCTATGCCAGGACAATGCCTGGTGTGTGCCGGGATGCTGTGCATGGTGTGTGCCGGAGCAACGCCTGCTGTGTGCTGGAAGGATGCTAGGGCAGTGCCAGTGGCTGCTCTGTGCCGGGATGGTGCCTCCTAGGTGCCAGGACAACAGGCGGTGTGTGCCCAGATGGAGCCCCGATGATGCCCAGCCTGTGCCATGCTGGGTCCGTACCAGGACAACGCCTGGTGCGTGCCGGGGTGATGCCGTGTGCCGGCGCATTCCGGGCGTGTGCCCTGAGCCTTCCCTCCGGCAGGAACTGGTGTGCCTACGTGGTGACACGCAGCGTGAGCTGTGTGGTGGAGGATGGCGTCGAGAGCTTCATCAAGCCAGACTACCAGCCCTGCGCCTGGGGGCAGCTCCAGTGCCCCCGAGTCCTGGCGTGAGTGGGGCTGGGTCGGGGCTGGAGGGCTCTGGAGGGGTTTGGGGCGTTCTGGGGGGGCAGCACAGAGCCAGGGCGAGCCGCGGCCGCCGCCACTGGTGTTTACCCACCCTGGGGTCATGTTTACTTTTGCGCAAGAGTCAGTGGCCTCAGGCGGTGCCGGAGGGTGGCCGGTCACTGTCCCCCCCACCCCCGTCACGTGCAGCCAAAACCCCGGGGCACCTCCAGCCCTCAAGCAGCGCTGGGGTGACACTGGTGTTGGGGTGGCACTGGTGACAGGGTGACAGGGCTGGGCAGGGGCAGTCCCCCGGCCACTGAGCGAGGCTCCGGCGCTGCTGGGTCAAGCCGCGGGCCGTGCTGGCTCCGGTTCTCTGGGGCAGCCCCACGCCCCTCCTGGCATCCCCCAAGCCCCGTCCCCCGCGCCCGCAGGTACCGCAGCTTCCTGCGGCCGCGCTACAAGGTGTCGCAGCGCACGGTGTCGGAGCTGGCCTGGCGCTGCTGCCAGGGGTACTCGGGTCCGGACTGCAGCGAGGGGCCTTCTCCAGCATCCCCCCAGCCCACCGGCCGCCCCCCGCCCCGGCCCGGCCGCCCCACGCTCTCTGGCTTCGGCAACCCCCTCAGTGGCCTGGGGGGCGAAGGTAGTGCTGGGGCAGGGGTGCGCTGTGGGGAACACGCTGGTGGGGGAACGTGCTGTGGCCGTGGCCGTGACCCTGACCCTGGCGGTGCGTGGCAGGCGGCGGAGACACGGAGAAGGTGCGGCGGCTGGAGGAGCAGGTGCGGCGGCTGAGCGAGCAGCTGGAGGAGCTGCGGGCCGGGCAGGAGCCGCCCCGGGCGGCTGTGGAGGGGCAGCCCGGGGGCGAGCAGCCGGCTGATGCGGCCGCCCCCGCCGAAGTGCGGGAGGCGCTGAGCCACCTTCAGCGGCGCCTGGAGGAGCTGGAGACCCGCCTGCACCGCACCGAGGGCGGCCGGGACGGCCCAGCGGCTCCGGGGGGCCCAGGGACGGCGGCGCTGTACGAGCTGGAGCAGCGGCTGCAGGAGATGTGCGCTGCCTGCACGACCGGCACCGAGGGGCTGCGGCGGCAGGCGGCCGAGGACCGGGAGCGGATGCGGGCGCTGGAGAAGCTGGTGAGCTCGGTGGACCAGCGCAACAAGGATGCGGTGGAGTCGGTGCAGAGGCACATCAGCAGCCTGAGCAGCCGCCTGGCGCCCGCCCCTGCGGCTCCCCCGTCC